AGATATAAACTTATTCTATCATAACGCCTTTCTTTTTCATGTTGAAATATCTTTAAAATATATTAATGGTGAACTTAAGTGAATTTTTAATCAAAAATTCCCTTTTATTTATTTTTCTAAGCGAATTTTTAGATCAATTATTTTTATAATACTTCTAATTAAGAATTTTCAGAACTAAAGAAAATCAGCAATTCAAAATTAAATTGTAAAAACTGATCTCCCCCCCTTTCTTTGAACGCAGTATAATATATCTTAAGAAATTAATAAATCTCTCTTTACAAAGTCATTAAAATCCCGATCTCAGAATTATAATCATGGTATATTTGTAACGGAGTATCTAGCTTGGTTTACTCTCTAAAAAAGTTTTACTGCCACTTACAGAAGAAAAAGATAAGCTCATGTATTGTACAACATGAACTGTGACATGAAGAGAAGCTAGAATTGAATAAAAATTACTCTGTTGGGCCATATTGCCAACACGTTATTATTGCTTCAGAGAACTATTTTTAACCTCCTAATCCGTCAATTTTTTTGCCGTAATACTTAATTGGATGAGAAAATGGAGGAGTTTTATTAAAATTTTCAATTTTAAAGTTTTCACACAATTTTTTATTTTATAATTGTGGAACACAAAAAACCCTAAATGTTTGCTGTTCATAAGTATTCTCTGCTTATGGGGGTGTTTGATATATTTTAAAAAAGAATTTCCTAATTTAAAAAAAATTTATTTTATCTTTTTTTTCAAACGGTTGTATTTTTAGTGTTATATTGTATATGAGCACACAATTTGAAGAATAGTGTAACATTAAGTCTAACATAGCAATGGGGCAGAGATAATATTGGCTTTTTCGGATTATCTTTCCATTTCCATTTCTTCTTAATCAACTTTGCATTACTTTACCAATCCCTGTTCTTTAACAAATATTTTCAAGAATCTAAATTCCCTCCTTCATCACACAGAAAATACAGGATGAGAAGTAAATACCATGGACGAAATACATCTCTAAAAGCATCAATACTAATAACTTCACTATGAGAATTAAAAATATATGCAAATCAAAGATAAAAAGGAAATATCAGTACCCGTACAGCTTAAAGAAACACCGGTTACTGTCAACTTTCGGTAGCCCGTACGGTGTACGGGCAAACCAGTAAGGAAAAGGAGTGCTTCTCAAACTTTCAAACTTGCGCCCCATCTCATAATTTCATCGCCCCCCCCTCCATACAATAGCAATGTATTGAATTCAATAATAATATACTTTGACGATTTTAATTAAAACTGTACAAATTATCAAGATAAGTTTTAAAATTTTGTATATAATTTTATGACATGCCCATAGGGTTACGGTAATTATTAAACATGTTCTTAACTTAGTACTGTTAAATTAATTGAACACATTGCGCAGTACTGATGCATTTTTGGTATATTATATCAAATGTAAATTGTATTTATTTTTTATTATGTCAGAATGTATTTTGTTTTGCTTCAATTCAGTAAATTAATAATTTTTTAAATAATCTTTTGTTTTGAACTTTTCGATATACTCACGCCCTTGCAAGGGTTTTACGCCCCGGGGAAAGGCCCACTGGATTAGAAACATGGGTTAAGGCAGTGCCTAAAGTTTCTCATTGGACCAATATTCAAAAAAATTTTCATCACACAAACCCTCTACCCAATAACAATGCGTTGAATTCAATATATAATCTTTGACGCTAAGGTTACAATAAAGACTTTAACCTTTATGTGCCCTGACGTTATAAACTCTACTAACAAAGTGTTAATTGTCCCGGACGGTTTTATCGTCTTTCAGTAAGATTTTTTTCTGTGCACCGTATCCCTAATTTTTTGAAGGCTTTGGAACGAATAAAGGACCTTGACAGGTTTGCAATATTTTTTTTTATTTTTCCCCCCCCAATTCACCTCCACCTCGTGCGTTGGGGGGGCGGGAAAAAATTTTTTAATCGCAAAGGTATTAATTATAAGCCGTACAAATTACCTTGATAAGAGTTAATTTCTGATATAATTTTATATGTGACAACCCCCGGGGGCACTTTTTTTAAACTTTCGAAAAGTGTTGTTAAAACAATTATAAAACACACTAGTACTGTACATTTTATAATTATTATATCAGGTAGTGATTTTATTTTTTTTTATGTCGTTTTTTTTTTTTTTAAATTAATAATTTTTTTTAAAATAATTTTTTGTTTTCGACTTTTCAATATCCTCGTGCCCCCTCATAGAGTTATCACGCCACTCTAGGGGGGCGTGCCCCACAGTTTGAGAAACGGTTAAGGAATATCTTCTAAATTTCATTACAGATTCAGCAAATGTGAAAAAAACTGTAGCAGTGGCCTACATTCCTTTCTGGTTGTACCAGATAGGTTCCTTAGTGTGTAATAGCAGTTCTTCACTTTCTAAACTTAAGTTAATAGATCTTTACTAATATTATAAACGCGAAAGTTTGTATGGATGTTTGGTACTCTTTCACGGGAAAACAACTGAATGGATTTTAATGAAACTTTACAATAATGTAGCTTATATATCAGAATAACGCATAGGCTATAATTTTTAAAAATGTTGTATGAAGCTTCCAAAATATAATGATAATTGTCAAGAAAGTAGGGAAAAAATCTGCCATCTACAAAAAAGCCCGTGACAGCATATATCTTTTTTTGTGTGAAGCAAATCTCTCGCTTTTTGTTTTGTCTACGTCATACTTCAGTGCGCACTAGCTTTTAATTTATTCCTTTGATCAGTGTAATCACTATTTTTTTTATTTCATAGTAAAACTATATTTCGAAGGGAGCGGTGGTGGCAAGATTTTAACATAAAATAAATACAACAGAAAGTAATATTAACGTATAACACTTCCAGATATAAATTATTTACACTATTTTAAGCGTTCATTACACAAAATTTGTGACAATGTGTTACTTTTGCTGAGCAGGATCAGCTTAGGAAGGTGTCTTCAAAAATTGACTGACAAGAGAGTTACGGGGAGTTATAAATAAATAAAAAAATTCCTTTTATCAGCTAGTAGATCTACAGACTTAAAGTTTAACAAATATTTATTTTTTATGTTCAGCTGAGATATGTAAAAAAGCTTCTTGTTTGTTTGTTTGTTTGTTTAATTTGCAATTTACATAAAATTAACTCATTAATAATTTCTTTATTCTTCAATCTGTATTGTTTAATTTTTCAATTGACCCGTGCGAAGAACGAGTATACCAGCTAGTAATAGATATATTTACTAAGCACTTATGCCTGTGATTAATTGAATGGCTTCTCCACTTACACGTCCGTTCCGAGTCAAAGTCTTCTGAGTGAACAAACTTCTAAAGTTATTGTCACATAGATTGAATTATTTTCTCTCGTAATTTTATAATACCAACAAGATTTATCGTAACCTTTTAACTTGTTTCTCCATAAGACTGTCCTAGCAAAAATGCACTTATGCTGATAACAATTGACAGAGTGTTATTATTACAATTACTAACTAAAATAATAGCCTTTCGCATGGGTGATTTATTAAAATAAAACTTAACAGTCCGTGTAACTAGTGCAACATTTTTCGAGCGATTTATAAAACAAGCTCCAAAAAACTGTCAAGTCGAAAGTAAAGATAGACCATGACGTCATGTGACGTAATAGCGGTCAGGGCCGTGCGCAATGAAGTGACAATTTTCTTTCGCAAGACAAAAAAGCCCAAAACTCGATCAACAGAATGTATAGTTAAAAATCCGTAATTACTATTTCTTACTGGTTCTTTTTAGAAAAGGATGTTCATTCAATAATCTTAGGAATACTCTGACTTATGAATCGATAGATTTCTCGATAGGATAATTTAAAAAAAAAATTTAATCGAAAAATGAAAAAATTACCAATAACTTTAATACGTAGTTTACAAATCTGAAGCAAAATTTATATTAAAAAGAAAATACACATTTGAATAATGGAAAACAATCAGAATCCTGGGATATTAGAGTTTGAAAACCAATACACAAACACACACAAATCTTTTCAAAACTGAATTTTCACACGGGAAAAATCCAACGTTGAATTCTTCCAATTTTGTGCGACCAACCCTTTTTTTTTCTTAGCTAGAAGAGCATCCCTCCACCTCCTCCCCCAAAAAATTTACAAAACTATGCCTTTTATTAACCTAGGATCTACATTAATAAAATATAGAATTTTTTTTAGTTTTTATCTAGAGAAGAGTTTTTATCTATAGATTCCTGCTTTGTATAAAAACTAAATATCTATATATATATATTATTTTTACTCTAAGGGATAATTTAAGTTATTTTAGCATTTTAGAAATTAGAATAGCTTTACGAATTAGATGTATCCACAAACTCGTGGCTGGCATGTTCTGAGTTCGAGCCTATTACCATTGAAGTCCTGCCGTGCTGAGGATGCCGACGCACATAATGTCGAGGCTCGAACGTCTTCCCTTAGCTGTAGTGTGGAAATTAGGATAGGGCAGAGTCAGTTAAGAAGTCGCCCTCGTCACACTCGACTGTGGTTCAAAATTACGTGGTCCGTCGCCAACAGCCCTCGTGTAACTTTATGATTCGACGTTAATACATCTCTCATTCACTCGAAATTCAAACCATCGCGATGGTACCTAATTCCACACGTCGGAGGCCTTTTAATATTTGTGCTACGAGACACCCACACATATTTTTTCCATTTTTCAATTCCTACTAATAGAGAGAGTTCATACTCTCTCTCTATATATATATATACATATATATATATATATATATATATATATATATATATATATATATATATATATATATATATATTTTCAATCGTTAATATTCATCCACTTTAGTTCAAATACATTTTTTTTTTAACTTATAGTGGATGATACTCGATGCTAATACTCTTTTTTCAAATATTAATTCATTAATTAAATTTAATTAATGAATAAATAGTAACAAACAAAAATAATAGTCCAACACCATAAATAAAAAGGAAAATCGCTCGTTGTGTCCCTGTAGCGTATTGAATAACCCGTTGGACTTCTAATCCAAAGGTCGTGGCTCGAATTCTATCTGGGATGGCCTAATTTCTCAGAATGTAATTTACGAATGAATAAATAGTGACAAATAAAAAATAATATTCCAACACCATATATAGAAAGGAAAACCGTTTTCTATTTTGCCACTTAATATTGTGATTTACATATTTATATTATTTGCAATTATTTAATAAAAAGTAACTAAAGTAAAAAAAAAAATTTGTTGACCTAAGTAGAAATTCACTTAAATTTTTTTTATATTAATTGTTTATATATAGATTCTGATAATCTAACTCTGATGACGTTTTTCTAACACCTACATCGAATATTCTTGTTCATTAATATTTTCTAATCAATTTTACCGATAAAATGAAGAAACAGTTTCAGTATTTATTTTAATATGAATATTCAGATTCACATACACACATATTACAGAAATATATATGTCTGTATTATCCTCTTAATTTTATATAGAAACATCACATAAATAGCAGTTATGCGGAATTTTCGATGACATCAGTATCAGGAAGAACAAAATCGTAAAAAATTTGTCACGGATTATGGCTGCTTCGAGATGATTTATTTGCGTTACAGAAATGGAAGTCCCCAATTTGCCCTACTTTTGAAATGTTCTAAAAAAAGATTTTTTTTTCTTTTTTTCATTTCAACAATCATTTCCCTTTTTGTTCTCCCTTGCTTTTTGTAAAAATCGAAACGAAACGAATAAGCTTAAGAGGTGAAAAAAACTGTAAATTTAAATTTGTATGAAAAGTAGAAATGTGCGTGTGTGCTTACTATTGTTTCATTTTTTTTCCATTTTTCAGATAAAAAGATGATTTATATAATAAGAGATAGTTGCTTTTAGAGCAATAACAATACTGGAACTACTCCTTTTTTCGATAGCATTATTTCTTGCTTATTATTAACGGGTTTTTTAGACGAACCTTATCTTTTCTTTATCAATTGACAAAAGAAATTGTTTGAGATAGAGTTTGACGACGGATTTGAATCAAAAGAGGCGATAAAAGAATTAAACAATGCAATGAGCTTCTGAAAAATAATGAAATCCAATGATGTTTTGGAATAAAACATCAATAAAACGAAAACAAATTCAATAAATTAAACGATTCATGGAAAATATAATAAAAGCAAGTGAGAGACAGATGTAATAAAATATAATATGAATAAACTGTTCAAACACTGGAGCCAATTTTTTAAAGAAAAATGACACCGAATGGATGAGAAAAAATTGGTATAACCAATTAGCTAGTTAAACAATATAGCATACTTTACTAAAAACTATTAAACCAAAGGGATTTAGTTATTAAAAATCTTTGTTATGTTAAGCCAATATCGATACAATGTTAAACTATAAACCCTTGCCATTTAGTAATAGAATATCAATATAATGATAAAGTTTTTTTACTGTAAATGATGTTTCAAATTAAAACTAGTCCAACCAAGTTATGTACTTGGTTTGTGCACATTTCGATATAATTGTGGCTGGGAGGCGTGGTTGGTTTGTCGCTGGCCTTCTGCACCCAAGGTTGTGGGTTCGACCCCGGTCCAAGTCGGTGGCTTTTCATGATGCAGAAAATTGACAGCGGCCATGTCGTATGATTATACGGCATGTAAAAAATCCCTTGAGTTTCCGTTTGGCTTGGATGCTCTCGGCAAAATTAAATTCCTTCGTCCAAATTTCGCATCGGCAGAGCTCAAGTCCTCCCTCTGGGAAGGAAACTGGGCATAAAAATTACTTGCGGTAGTTGGTATCGCCTATATGGTGCTGCACTAAAAAGTGATACCAGATCCTGGGGAATGTGCTTGATCTGCAAAGGTAGAAATACCAATCTTCAGCCCCATTAGAAATTATATATATATATATATGTATATATATAATTTCCAAATGCTACAGGAAATATTTAAAGATAGAGATCATTCGTGTTTCATTTTAAAATAGCTTTTAAGATTTAATATATGAATTAAAATGTAATGTGGGGGAGGGGGTTAATGAGACAGCTAGAGAGGTAAGCCTATTGGAAATCAACGACATCTGGTGGCAGATTTTGATATTTTATTTTAAATTAATGTTACATTATAAACTATGTAAGGAGTATTGGTGGTGGAACCTGAGTCAAATGATTAGAGCTTCAGTTGAACGGGTAACTCTTTCTCCTAACTTTCACACCACACCTTTTGAGTATATTGAGACACAACTTTATCTAACATGTAACAAACCTCGTTATTTTACACAACTGAGATTTATGAAACAAGGACTCAAAAACCAACAAGTGATGAGTTCGATTCTCTTTCGTCAAATACTAACTTTTGGAATAAAAACGCAGCTGTACATATTCTATCCTCAATTAGATCTTAAATAGACCACTAGGATGGTGAAAAATATTAAGAGGGGTAAGATGAAGATAAGAGGTAAATATAAGAGGTAAAATGAAGTTCATTGCCAATACCTGTTATGTGACAATAATAATGAAAATATAAAGAGTTTCAAGTCAAATAAACGAGCAATAACGGAGAGAAAATTTCTTAGCACATATTTGCAGCTTATATAATAAATACCGTAAATTCCGGCGTATAACGCGCACTTTTAACACCAAAAATGAGATCGAAATTTAAGGGTGTGCGTTATACGTCGGGTATAAAAACGATAGCTTTAAAAATAACAAAAGAAATAAGCATAAAAGAAAATTACTTCCACACATATCGAAATACTGTTTATTTAATGAAATAGTATGCCTTGTGAACTAAAAGAGTTGTAATTCAAGAAGTATACTATATTTTCAAAAGTCTGGGATAATACCTCGAATAAATGACTTCAAAAGATTTGTGCATTGTTTTCTAACATTTCAGATTTCTTCGTAAAAATGAGGGTGCGCGTTATACGGCGAATATGCCTAAAAATTAAAAAATACTACTCGAAAGTATAGGTACGCGGTATACGCCGGATTTTACGGTAAATTGTATCCATTTCTTTATTTCATTCAAATTTGTGTTGTATTTCAACTGTACAGGCATTCCAAAAAATAGACTAGGTGAGCAATTAAGGAAAATAAAAAGCATCTTTTAAATTAAAATTTATCAATTCAATACATACACTAAAACATGACGGCGAAAAGAGACACGATTAAAGATTACCCATAAATATAAATATATATACAAAAATATATATTTGTATAAGTCTGGTAATGCAAAAGTGAAACAATGAGTGATCGGTATTGCTTCAAGGTCACGTCCGCTGTCGAAACGTGGGCGGAGGCGATAAAAAACCCAAGCGCTGAACTAAAAATTGAAAGATTTACGACTTCTATCGAGACAGAGAGAGAAAGACCAGAAGTTTTATGTCGAGCTCGAATTCAATCGCGCTTCTGTGTTAGTGATCGATTCATCTTCATCAGTTTGGACACGTGTGCTTCCCTAATACGTTGCCTTTGATTCGACAGTTCTTAGCTTTCAGTTCTCGGAATGCGAAACTAGTTTAATAATGATATTTGAAACAATTTTCACTAACGTTGTACTCGTCGCAAAACCAAGAGTGGATTATGATGCTCCAAGCAGCTACATCCACAAAAGAATACTCAGAATTATTATTATTATCTTATTAAATAAATAAATCGTCTTTTTGTTTCATGTATATTATTCATCAACAGCAACAGAAATAAGGAATTAGAAATAGAGGGGTGGATTAGAAAAGCTTGCGTATAGGCAGTGTGACGCTTGAGAAAAATAATGGTAGCGTGTTATTTATTCATTTAAATAATTGATTTATTTATGTCACAGCTATTAATTACAGTATATACGCTGAAGTTATTAAGGGGTCTCAGGGGTGTTAAATTTTTCTAGAGGTCTGAAAATATAAACAATTTTCAAACAGGTATAATTCATTTAAAATTAAATTTAATGATTCGAATCTTTTACACATTATTTATAAAAGAATGGGGCTTCAGAAAAATATAAAATGTTTAAAATATAATTATAATTTTAAATATCATAAGCATATGAAAATTCTATGATAAATATTAAGTATTTTTTGTGTTGCGCACGCTATTTTCTAAAATAGTAGTATCTGATGTGTATAAAAATTTATAGAATTATAAAATGCATCATACTCTTTAAGCTGTGCCTAATTTTAGTATTATATGTCTTTTGTATTTCAAAATATTTGTAAAACATTGCAATTTTTTTAAATATTTTTAAAAATGTATTTTTTTATTTATTAAAATATGTAAGTTATTATTCTATTTATATAAAAATAGCTACAGTGTAATGAGAATACATTTAACTTTATTATTCAACTTATAGCTAGTAATTAAAGCTACTATTTTGGAAAATAGCTTGCGCAACGCAAAAAATACTTATTATTTATCATAGAATTTTCATATGCTTATGATTTTTAAAATTATGATTATATTTTAAACATTCTATACTTTTCTGAAGCCCCATTCTTTATAAATAATGTGAAAAAGATTCGAATCATTTAATTTAAATTTAAAAGAATTATACCTGTTTGAAAATTGTTTATATTTTCAGACCTCTAGAAAAATTTAACACCCCTGAGACTCCTTAAAAGATTGGTTAGTTCGTTATAGTCCAAATTCTGTTGTTTGTGATAGAGGAACAGTGGTGTAACGTATACCCCCGCAGCCCCTGCATTGCGGGGAGGCCCAGGAATCTAAGGAGTTCAAAGCTTGACTGACGCAAAGTACGTATTTGGGCTTGGGCCCCATAACCTGAGTTTGCAGAGGGGATGGGTCCTAATATTCTCCGTTACGCCACTGGGGAGGAGATTACATCTGTCCTGTTCGAAGGTTTACAACGGACTTCTCTATGTCCTCTCTAGGGTCTCCGGATGGTAGCAGTTGGCCTCTTTATCCTCGAGTTACATCCGGCTCGTGGGTGGAGTAGGGAGTTCTCATGGGGTCAAAGGGTGCCGGGGAGATGACCAAAAACAAGATCTCGTAATATTTTAAGGGTGCACGTGTGCATAGGAATGCGGTTATCTTATCCACAAAAAGAAGTCGACTTTT